CAGCATTGCATTCCTTCCCGTTACACCCCCTTATGTGCAGCCCAACAGCGCCCCCTGGTGGAAGGACCTGGCAACTTCTTGGTTCAAGTTCAAAGCCTTGCTCTGACTAAGAGAGAAACTGAATTCTGCCTGTAAAACCCGGCCGCTCAGGCTGCGGCTTTTCAAACGGAGGCAGCATCCACGGAGCAGGGGGCCGTGCGGGAATGTGCAGCTGCCGGAGGCCCGAGGCCGCGGGTCTCACGGCCTCGGCCCTGCTCCCCCGAGGTCGGCGCTCTCTCCAGGGTGCTGAACCCGCCTGCTCTCGGCCTCGCCTCGGGGCACCTTCGGACACAACCCTCGGCCCTTGACCAGACCCTGACCTCGCCCTCCTCCTGCCTCTCAGAGCCGAGGGCGCCAGGATGGGACAGGCGCCCACGTGCGAGAAGGGCCTCTGACAGTGACGTTCCGATTGCACGTTTTCTGCAGCCAATGCCTTTGCTGGTTTCCACGTCCGCAGTCCTCTCTCCAATCCTGTGCACCCTCCAGGCAAGCCTCCTCTATCGGGCAGCACCCACAGTGAGGGGGCCTCCGTGAAGCCCTGGCCTCGGCTCCCAGGTCCTCCAAGGTGGCCAAGGGGCCTGCCCTGCGCAGGGCCTGAAACACCGGCACTCCCCAGCCCAGGTGAGGTAACAAACCCGGGGAAGGGCAAAGGTCACCTGCCACCCCCACCCTTTCCACCTGACCCCCACCGACGCACTGTAGCAAAAGACACGCATGTTAAACACACCGCATTTCCTGCTAACACGCCGCTCCTTCCTGGGTCACCAGGGCACCGCCTACCTTCAAATCGTCGGTGACTGTTATAATCCTCGGAGCAGGGCACCTCAATGAACCTGCCGGGCAGGACCTCGCCGCGGCGAGCCAGGACCTCGGTGACCCCGTCATCGCCCCCCTGGCTGCCCCAGAGCAGGAAGGCGTGGGCTGGAAGGCAGACCATGGCGACCAGAGGCACGTCCACCGCGGCTCGCAGCCCTGACCTGTCCCTACACTAACCGCGGTCAGAGCTACTGTCAATCAACAGAGGCACCTGCCAGGGGGTGGAGTGCGGTGGGAACGTGGGGAGTCCGGCGTGGAGCCATGGCCACACACGGGGTAGGGGGTCAGTTAAGGTTTCGGGCGGGGAGCCCTCCTTCCACCCCGTGATCCCCGGCCCAAGCCACCCCGGCTTTGGGGTGCCAGGCTGACTGAGGGTGCCGGTGGGGGCGGGATTCTGCTGGCCCCACCCAC